GAAATGTCACAGACAGTAGAGAGCCCTTGGAGGACGCCAAATATGTAGCAGTCTGGATTCAGGCTTGGTGAATGTAAATGTGTGGAGTGAGAGCCAGACCCCCTCTGTGTGATGTTGGGTCTGAGCTAAAGCCTTTGAAGAGGCAAACACTGCAGGCGCAAAACAGATGAATAAAGAAACACCAAGAGCTGATGACAGAGTTGTAACACGAACCATTTCCAACCAACTACTGTATAACTACTTGAGTGCCATTGTTCTCAAAATTAATTAGGTGTCATAATTTAGGTTTATTAGCCGAAGGTGTGGAGATGAAAGGAAAATGGGAAACAATAAATGGGCAGTTTAATGGTACCCATTCGGTGGATAAAGGATAGGAAGCAAATGTTAGGGGTAAGGATGGGAAAGGATGGGAAAAGACAGGTAGTAGAAGGTACATTTGAGTTGTTCATAATAAAGAGGACCATCATTTTCAACAGTGCTTTGTGAACGCTTCTGAGCCTTCTTCACATTTCAATCTTTGTCACAGTAAACAACCCTTTAAAGCAAATGCCTCAGGGCCTACTGATCAACAGGATATATTCTATACACCCCACATTCAGTGCAGTATATGGTGTGGCAGTGACACCCCCCCCAATTTCCTGGTTTCGCAGTTGTGAATGAATGCAACAGTGAACACAGTGTCTGAGCCCTGTTCCATAGAGGGAGTCTGCACCTCGTTGCAGCTAGACAGCAGACAGACAGACAGACAGATATGTTTGGGCTGGAATATGTGGAGAGACCAATACTCCAGAGATTCCCCTCTTACTGCCCTATCAATTATTCACAAGTCATTACATGGCTGGCCAATAAAACACACTGATATGTGTGCGTGCACACACACACAAATAGGACCTTGTGGCAACAATGAGCCATATAGAGTCAGCAACAGGAATAAATCTTACACAGATTTGAATCTTATCTGGATTGTTAAATTAAATTGTCCCAAAAAATACTGTCCTCTTTTAAGTAGAGCTGCAGACTAGTCAATTAATCGATTGGTTGATTGTAATAAAATAATGATGCTTGTATTTTGATAAAAAAAAATGCCAAAAAACTCCAATGGGAGTTTGGCTGCTTTTCTGTTTTATAACGTAAACTGAATCTATTTGGGTTTGGGGCTGTTGGTTGGACAACATTCACTATTTTCTGATGAGTTACAGACTAACCAATTAACTGAGAAAATAATAAATCAGTGCTATGTATGTGTGAATGTAAAAATCTGGTTATTTTACAAATACATCACAACTTGAACTTTCATCCATCACGTTCATCCCTCATCATCACAACTAATAAAATACTATGCACAAATTAAGTTGCCACTGTTTGTTAATGCATTGTCATTATATTCGGACTTACTGATTTGCCAAGAAATTAAAAGATTGATAATAATTATGTGACTAAAGACAAAAAAAGTGTTTTAATCAGCTGTATGTCTGCAGACTCATCATCACATACTTCATCAGAAGCAGAATAAGCGGTTACATACACGAATAACATGAATACATCCTCTTTGAGATTTGAGATTCATTTCAGAAGATTATGAGCAAATTGAAATCAGGTCTTCTATACAGACACACCGTTCCACTTTCAGTGCTCCCATGGGTACAAACTGGGTCGGTGGTGTCCTGTCCTGTCCTAGGGCTAACATCAGAGCGTCAAACACCCAACCTTCTACATTCAGCAATAGATCATTAGTGAAACTGACTTTCAATACTGCCTTTTACCCTGAGAAATGTGACTGCACTTATTACAGAGCTGCTTTGAGTAGGCTAAAAAATCTCTCCAGAATTTTTGCTGAGCATCAGTTATGTCATATCCACAGCAGGGGAAATGACATGTTGACAAGGCAACAGCACCTTTATGTACAGGCTACAGAACCACAGCTGACACCAGATTGAGCGACAAATACTGTTACTTTTTGTTATTTTACAAGCTAGGAAATGCCCCTGCTAAATGGATTAACTGAGATGGAGGTATTCCTTGTATGAACAGAAGCACCCCAAATATAAACAATGAGTTTTGGGGTTTTTCCAGAGTTGGAACATGCTTGCACATTCTTAAAAGTCAAACAACCTAACCAGATAATCCTAAAGCCTCCAGAATAACTGTTTTCACTGACAGATCAAACAGCGGCTGGAGTTAAACTGTGTGTGACAAAGCCACGAAGAACACCAAGCCAACACAACACAAAGGTGTTTCTATCTGTCTTCAGTGGAATTATTGAGGAGACACAGGGTTTTGCTTGTATATCAGCTCTTTGTAGCCCCATTTGGAAGTCAGTGTGTAAACCCAACAATCATTAGAAAGGCAGCCATATGGTATCCAGACAGGTGTTAAAGAGCTGGGATCACAGAGGACCACACAGTCAACTAGCTCATTAGCCTTCACAGGAATCATGCTTCTTTCTTCCTTCCTTCCATGAAGTGAAAAGACTGACATTGACAACTTCAAGTAATTTGCCCTCACTGACTAATACAGGTTTTCTATAACGGCTCTACATGACAGGTGCAACTGCGGCTAATGGAATACTCATTTGTACATAACCATCATCCTAGCCCACGTGAATATTCAAATCTAACTATTTAAGTTTCTATTATTTAAAGCCACTGAATAGGGATAAGAGTAGGCCTTAAAATATTTACATATATCAACTTACCTACTTGTTTCATGTCAATAGATGCACACATGTGCCTAGAATATGATAATAATAATAATAATCTATAATTCTAGCCACATTTAAGCATTTTCACTCCTTTCAGTTAGTGCAACACCACATACAGCAGCTACAGATATGCTATTTTTGTTTAAGCGAACATCAAAGATGTCCTCATACCACTGCCGCAAAACTTGGCAGGGTAGTTCTGAAATAAGCACTCCAATGTCCTCGTGTATTTTGGGTCAGTAATGAAGGGTGTGCTTACATGTCTGCTGACAGCAACACAAAGTTTGTTTTTTGTTTTGTTTTTCAAAGAAGCAAGAACCTATTAACACACGAACAGTCATAATAATCATATAGCAAAAGATGAATCATGATGAATAATGATACCTCATTGAATAGAAGAGTTGTTTATACAAAGAAGCATTCTTGTCTTTCTTAAAGGCTTCATTTCTATGTTGTTCAAGATTCTGTCTAAATATTCCCACAGTGCTTTTAAATGAGTGATTAAAATGTTCATTAGTTATGAACCTATATATATATATATATATACACATATATATACACATACATAGAAAACAGTCCTTTAACAGTTTTATGTGGAATACAATACATCGAATAACTTTCTGCTCTGTGGGTTAAGCCCCTCTGAATCATGGAGATCTGATGATTAACAACACCTACACAGTAAAACCAGCCACCTGTCTATACATTCCATTTATAACCCAGCCAATTCATATGGGACTTTGCTGAACATCACCAGCCACAGTTTCACCCACTTTAATTCTGCTGAACATTACCTGCTCTGCTTCTTGAATCAACGTTCACTCTTCTTATATAGGGATTAATTATAATCTTATAGAAACGTATCCTGCCATATGAACATGCAGACACACATCCTGCACAGAGTCATCAATTATGGGTGGAACTGGTAATAAGAAAACAAAAGGACGATTAAGGCACCCCCACTGCAAATAATGGCGTAATTATGGACAATAATCTAAGAGTGACAGCCCCCTGCTGGAAAACACAACTGACGACCCCCACTGGTCTGGAATAGCCAAATAATCATTTCTAATGCATCAATTAATGCTCCCTCTTAGCTTCTGTGGCCACAGATCTTCTCCCATGTTGTGTGTTGACAGTTCATTAGGGGTTTTTACTGCGCTGTGATTGTGGTGATTGGGTAATGAAGTGGTGGGGGCGGGGAAGACGGCAGGCAATGGTGCACACAGATTACTACCTTGGTTAAATGATGAGATTCAGGACACATTCAAACCATCAAACAAAGGAAAAAAGGAGTGAGGCTTTATGAAAGAACATGCAGGAAAATGCTAGTCCTAGTGCACGGAAAATATAGCTGATAACTATCAGCTGGCATCCCTTTCCAAACTATTTACTGTATGATTTCAGTAAGCTAATTAGCTAACCCCAGATTCAGATGAGAATAAACATAATCTAAAACATGATAAAATGAAATAAAAATTACTGAGTGGCTACTCAACTTGGCTCAAGCTGATCTGCCTTCATGTGTTGCTCTCACAGTCTAGGATAGATACATTGTACCCCCTGTTTTACCTTAAAGGGCACTATCACTAACCTTTATACTGTAGCTACTAACTGTGTTTAGACCTGTCAAACCATTTTCCCAGATGTCTTTCAATACAAACAACATAATAGACTTTTTTTTATTTGTTACCAGTACATTAAAAGGATCTATTTTGTTAGTTGGATGGAGTCTTTCATTGTAGCTGTAAGATACAGTATATGAGCAGCCAGCATTAGATGGAAATCTCATGGGTTTCCTATTGATTTTCAATTGGCTACCATTAAGTGGATCCTGTGTGCTAACAGGATAGGCAGAGGTGTGAAATTAGGGACAAGGTCACAAAAGATCAGCATGAGACCTGCCAACCCTCTGTTTCTACTACAGCAGCTACACCGCTGGCCCAGATTAAGTGTCAGGAAATGTGCTGCACACACAACTACAGTGTAGCAACACAAATGATAATCCAACTACACGTTTTGTGAATGTAAAACCTAACTCTGCATAATCCTGTAACTTTAAGAGTCCTCTGCTCTACATATTTCATAGAACATTAAGAACCAGACTATATATTGTAGTTTGCAGTGTGAAGAGTCACAACAACCACAGTTGGAGCAAAGGTCTGAAAATCTCCCCTCAAAATGTTTAAACTGGAGATCTATAAGACACTACTACACCATGTCTGTTACTCTTTAATATTAGTGGGAGTACTAGACGCCTCTCACATGTCTCCAGGCCACAACCATGTTTCACACTTACCTTGCGTATGCCTTCTACTTCAAAACCATTGAGGTTTGCATAAAGCGAGTGGTGCCTTTTTCCTAACAGCGATGCCGAAGTGATATTAGCCGTGGTTGGGACTGCCTTGTCCGAGAGCCCGTGTTGCTTATTGTCCTGCTCTTCTGACCTCCTCAACTCCTGCTGTTGTCGTGCAAGAGGGTCAGCTACCTCACGGCTCTCCATCTCTGCGTGTGCCGGCGCAGGCTCGGGCTGCTCAGGCCGAGTGCACAGGTCATACATCACACTCCCTGTCAAAGTCAAGCAGCGCAGATGGGATCGATGTGACCAAATGAGGTGCCCAGCCAAGACTGAGCCATCGCAGGCTTTTCATTTGCTGGAGGAGAATTACACGGATCAACTGTGGCAGGTTGGCCTTAACAATGATAAAAATGTCACTGTCCTCCCTTCCTCCAATGGTTCATAAGCAGGAGTGTTTTTTCACAGCTAAGGTAAAGTGTCAGAAATGAAGCAAAGGACTGTTATTGCCATGGTTGTCAGTAACCCATCACCCAAATGTGTAAATCCTGATAAAGCAGGACTTAAAGCTAACAGCAACAGCACTAATGGAGGTGTTATTACTTGCCTAAAATCAGTTTTTTTTTTAGCAAGAGTCTGTGCCATATCCAAGACAAAACCAGTTACAGATAAACCAGGAGTTGTAAAGTACCTCCTCCCTCTCTGCGCTGTGACGTTTTCCAAAATGAGGACAATAAGCTCCACAGGGATATTACATATTTTCGGCCTTGGCTTGTGAAGACAATTCAGTGAATGTCATCTTCCTGGTAGCATTCTTGAGCATACTGTGGTTAATATTTATCACAGTGTAGCATTCAGCATCCTGCTCACTACACTAACATAGCCTGCTTCTTCATGCCTTACCGCTCTGTCGTCTGAGGGGGGGTTTGGTCATAGACACTTGTCCAGAAAAAGGAGGACACACCAGTCCACTTCTTCCCCTACGTAATGCTGAAACAGCGCATGTAGGCCCAACTGAAATAGCAAACAAGAAGAGACGTGCGATGGAGAAAAAAACAAGAGAATGATCTAACTAACAGGTCTCCACTCCAGTCCCCATTCTCTCAGCGAGAGGGAGATGTGGGTGGCATGTTGACTCTTTAGCTCCGAGTCTGTCTTCATTGATGCCGCTGTGTCAAAACGCATTTCATCCAGATGCAATAACACTCGACAAGCTGCTTAATCCCATCTTGGTTACAGCGCCATAAAGGTGAAGAAAGAGGACGAAGGGAAAAATGTGTGTGTGTAAGACGGCGAGTGTCGCTGCGAGGAGGGGGTAGGGAGGACTGCTTCCGTCGCCCTATCACAAAAAGGCAGGCTTTGAGACGGGGCCCAATCATTACCGCGACTAGAGCTCGTTTCCATGGAGATGACGCTGGAATGATGTTGGCTGCCTATTGATTGTTCAAGAGGCAGTACACACTGCAACACAGGGAGGCTGCAGGAGGCAGGCAGAGGAACAAGTGTGTCCAGTCCACACTAATTCTAATGTTTTACTGCAGTTGTGCACTAGAGAAACAAATGTCTGACAAGGTGATGAATGCTCCTCAGTAGTTTAGCCTTGGACACAGACATTAAAACACATATAAAGCTGCTGGTCTGAAAAGAGAAACTGTCGCAACTCAATGCTGGTTTACAAATTAACTTGGCATTTATCTTTACTCCACCTAATTGTCTATCAAATGACCAGGGCAGCTTAGTAAATCCCCTTAACAAGCAGTGGCATGACTACGGGCCAGGAGGGGGGTTGTTCAGTTATTTGGGATGGCATCTGGTTAAATCCTCACTCAACCAAGAAACTTGAATTCAAAGAGCCTCACAATTCTATCTGGGTAAACCATTTTAAGATATCACTATCACTGTGGCAACAGGCATTGATAATAAAAGATAAAAATGAATAAAAATGTGCAAGAAAAACCATGTTTGTAAATTTGGTTCACTATCACAAAGACTAATTCAGACTTTCTGACTGTAAACTCTGTAAAGAGTTACGTTTTAGATGAGACCAAGATCCTGACTATAATCATTAGGGATCAAGGACAGTGACCCTTTCATTTTGGGTATGTCATTTTCAAGCAAGTGTACAATGTATTTAATGTGCACTGGTCATGTTATGACCCAGTCCACTTAATAAGGTCACTATTGGCGCAGATACCAATCTAGCATGTTGGATCAGTGTATCCCCAGTGGCAAGTTGAAAAAAGTTCAACCATCATCAACTCAAGTGGCAAAAAAAAGTGCCAGTTATTTCACATGAGCGGCAGCAGAGCTCTCTCCTTCCAATGGCATAGCTGCTGTCATGTTTACAATGAAAAAAATGGAGACAGTGGCAGCAACCACCTGCTACATGAAAATAACTTTAGGAACAACACTGTATACTAGGGAACGGGAGACAATATTTATCCTGAGGCAATAGAGATTTCTTAACTGGTAGCTAGTTTGCTATACTGTTTATACTTAATACTGTACCTCTGGCTCTTTAAGGCCATTGTGGGTTAACAGTTTATTAATTACATTTCCAGATTTTGTTCTGGAAAAGTAATTAATGTAATTATTGCACTGTCAAAACATTAAACTACATACAGGTGATTCATATAGTCTATTGCTAATATACGTAGTTATATGTCACAAAAAATAAGATGTAGTTACACATTCATCTCAGTTATAACTCCAAATATATTTATTTTTACATAAATATATATTTGTTTATATAAAAAATATCAATATATTATTTATATATCAAATATATATATATATATATTATTTATATAATTTGCAGCATATTCTCGACTCATCTACAGCAGGTCAAAACGTATTTTAATACTTTGTAAGTGCTTTGTTGCAGTGACAAAGTTTGCTGAGGCTTTACACTGCAACTGCTTTGATAAAGTGCAACAGTCTACCTTCTGTTCCTTTAAAGGTCAGACTTTGAAAACCCATAGCTGTGTACAGCAATGTTAAAAATAGACATTTTGCCTTAATTCTTTTTAACTGGTAATTTTCTGCTACACTGCCAGTGCAGTCGACACAGAGATTGTTCCATTTACAATGGCCATTTTCGCTAAACTGTCTATCATCCCCACTTTAATGCACTGACAGGCATACAGAATGTACACTCAGCACCACAGGGGGAAACATGAAGAGCCTCCACCAGACAGATCAGGCTCATGGCTCAGAAATGAACTTCCTACTTTGCCCTAACGCTGCATTTCACAGCTTCAGTCTATTCACTTTTAATTATAGTGTGCTCACAAGACCATGGCTCCAGTAGCCTAAAGACTTAAAACAACCCTGATGTGAACTCCACTCAACACTATTTCTATTCTGCTTCAGCTGCTTTGATAATATAAACGTACTCTCTGATCAGGAACAGAGGCACTGACAGCGACAGCGACAACAACAAACAACAAAATACTACCGCACACATGACCACTGCCACCAGCAAGTGTTCTTATCACAATATATACAGCACAAAAATCTCACTGAGCTTAAAACAAAGAAAAACATCCAGTTAGCGTAACCTGACGCATGTCAAACAGCAGCATGCTCTGCACAGAACTGAGCTGTAGCCAGGTCCATCATGGTTCACTGGTATTGACATCCTATCACACTGACATATTCTGACAGCCTCCCTGTCTGCCTGTCATGAGACTGAGAAGCCGGCTGCTGCTCGAATACATCTAGCATTAAATGTTCTCCATTAAATTAGGACAGGAGGGAAAAGGAGCAATTCTAATTTGGATAATTTGGAGTTCAGCAAAAAGCAAACGTTCAGTAGCCGTTAGCTGACTGAGTTGTTACAGTCTCACCACAGCGATCAGATACAGCAGCAGATTTATACACCTAGTGTGTGCTAATGGCTTTTCTTCTTTTATCACAGTTTTCTTTAGTTTTCTTTTGGCAATTTAGACATTTAAGGCATTTGATCATATTAAGGAAATCACAGAAGCCCCCATGTCAGTATAGCCAAAATACAGATGTTGTAAAAAAAACTTTGTTTAGTTTTTTTCCTTTATAAGCTGCGTTTTAAATGGTGTTTAAAGGTACCGTATCTCATTCAACCTTAAAAAGCACTTTCATAGCACAGACAGGTTATTAGAAAATACAAACAGGTGGTAGAGTACCAGGGATCTTTGTGTCACAAACAAATATACGGTGAACATGAATTGCAGTAGAAGCCTTTTTACACAAAAAAAACAATGTGAAATTGACATTATTAAAAGAAACAGACATGAGCTGGTCCATTCCCATTTGAACACCTTTTAAAAATGGACGTCTCCCTGATGCCAGTTGCTGTGATAACACAGGGGGTGCCTCAGCAGGGCTGTGAAATAACTATGAGGCTTGGCAAGTAGGCCCTGCTGTTTAGACACAGTTGAAGCTTTGATTAATTATTCAATTTCCTCTGTATGAAAATTTGATCCAAAATTTTTGAGACGGAGGCACACTGACCCACTTCTGCCACTCCAACAAGAGGCATAAACAGATCCACCCACACATGCTAAACACCCCCCCCCCCTCATATCCTGCACAATTCTCCTCATACAGACCGTGTCAGTCACACTGAATGTTTTTAATATATCCTGCATCATACTGGCTGTCTGTAACTTTATAGTGTTGGTTATTTTTTCCCTGTGTCTCATTGCTACAAAAAGTCCTCAAAAAAAAAAAATACTCATGGAAATGTCACCAGTTGTTCAGTTCTCCATCTTACTGCTGCCTTTATAAAAGTGTAGCTCAAACAGGAGAGAGTTGTTTTACAGTTACACAGTCTTCACTTGATTGAGGCCATTTGATACTGAAAACTACCACAAACAAGAGAGAAACAAGGCTACGATAGCATAAATGGTTTATGCCTCAGTTGTTTTGTACATAATGTGGACTCAAAATCTCCTGGTACAGACTTTCACCACACTGGCATAAAGATCTGTTGATTAAAGAAGACGGTAATTCATTTGCAATGACTATAGTTCACATTATGCTTTGCTCTGATGCAGCCTGTGCTGTGCGTGGTGTGCTAAATCAATATTAATATATCGGTTCTGATTTGATGATCAAGGTGTTCGTGAGCAGTTCTGTGATGTTGCCTTCCTCTATGACTACTGTGTTAATCAGCTTGTGTTTAAATAAACACACATCTACATCTATATTCTATCCATTTATGAACAATACTGAGGAACACAAGGAGCTCATTTACTACACATAGACGATACACAAAGCTCCACTGCAATACAAACTGTTTTGATATTAGATAAAGCAAACAAAGTAGTTGATGCTTATAACAGAGATCTGCTATTAGTCTGTTCTTGCCGTCTCCAAACTTTACATAAACCCAGAGCATTGTGTCTGTGGGATTCCTGTATGTGTCTTGTGTCACACTTTTAGCCCCAAGTAACCAGATTATGTCAAAACTGTATACATCAACCAATATCAAACTTGTTCTGATCCTGTTATGACACCAGTTCTCCCACTGTTTATTCCACATCCTGAGGACTGAGTAAGCCTCTGTCTGGTAGTACAGACCTTCTGCAGTCATTCTATCTTAAGGTAATATGATGAATAGATTCTGGTCTGGGAGCAATGTTTTCCTTTACATCATAGGGCAAATCAGACAGTGTGTTCACTACCAACACGTTCCTGTCTCCCTTTCCCCATACAGTACCTGCCACTATGTCCATCTAGCTAACATTTACACAGGTGAATACAATGTATGGCAATCTTTTCATATTAATCTTACTTAAAACTATGATCTTATTAAAATTCACATGATTTGTTACAACATATATATAAAATAATTGTACACCACAAATACTTCAGGGCTTCACAGTCGATAAGTATGAATCAAGACCACCAAAGTCTGTAAGTACACTGATGCAGATTCTCAGTTAAATATATAAGAGGAGATGCTAGCAAAGCTTAACTCATAAATAAGAAATAACTTACCTCCATGTTTCTGTCCATGCATTTGGAGGACGGTGACCCGTCTGACCCAGAGGACTCGCAGTAGGGGGGCTGGTCGTCCCAGCCTGCATGGGGAGTGTTGTGAGGGTGACAAATTTTTAGAGAGCTGCTCCGACAGGTGTCCAGGACTGCAGCGGTGGTGCAGGGGTCAGCTGCACGGAGGGCACTCTCTAAAGGCTGCTTTCCACGATCTTGTTCGGTTTTCTTGTTTGGGGAGTGGGAGGCACTCTGGGATCTCTGCTGCAAGGTCCTGGAGCAGGTTAGGAGAGGCTTCGTCTGACAGGGGTTACTGCCGTCTCCCTGAGCTGGCTTGCT